TATCTCCCACTTATCAACGTTTTATTATGTTTGTCACCAATGCAACAGAACCAGCCACCTACACTGAGGCTGCTAAGGATCCAAGGTGGTTTGAGGCTATAGATTTAGAACTCCTATCATTGGCAAACACCAATACTTGGACTCTAACTCCACTGCCTCCAGGTAAGCATGCTATTGGCAATAAATGGGTGTTTCGTATTAAGTTCAAACCTGATGGTAGTATAGAAAGGTATAAAGCTAGGTTAGTTTCCAAAGGGTATACTCAAACCCCATGCATAGATTATTTAGAAACATTTTCTCCAGTAGCAAAACTTACTACTGTACGTGCTTTGCTTGCTCTTGCTTCGATCAAGAATTGGCATGTGCAGCAACTAGATGTTAATAATGCAATTTTACACGGTGATTTAGTTGAAGAAGTATACATGAAGCCTCCTCCGGGCTTACATTTACCTTCTAAGAATCTAATATGCAAGCTTAATAAGTCGTTATATGGTCTAAAACAGGCCAGTCGGCAGTAGAATCACAAAATTACTCAATTCCTTGTTCATGCTGGTTATACACAGTTTAAGGCTGATTATTCTTTGTTTACTAAGTCAAATATGGGTAAATTTCTTGCTTTCTTAGTATATGTGGATGATGTAATTCTTGCTGGTGATGATTTAGATGCTATTAACTTGCTTAAATCACAGCGATATGATGCATTCAAAATCAAAGACTTAGCTCCACTTAAATATTTTCTAGGACTAGAGATTGCTAGAACTTCTGCTGGGTTTTCTATCTGCCAACGAAGGTATGCACTTGATTTACTCAAAGATGCAGGTTTACTTGCAGCTAAGCCTGCTGCCACACCTCTTGTAGCTGGCGGCCAACTATCGATAAATGATGGTGATCCACTTTCTGACCCAGAACTATATCGTAGACTTGTAGGTCGTCTCTTATACTTGTGTCATACACGACTTAATATAGCCTATGTTGTGCACCATCTCACTCAATTCATGAGTGCTCATTCTAATGTACATCTTAATGCTGCCTATCGAGTCCTAAGATATCTTAAGAATAATCCGGGTGAAGGTCTTTTCTTTCCTAGCAATTCTTCTAACAAACTTACTGATTTTTCAGATAGTGATTGGGCTAGCTGCCCGGATTCCCGTCGCTCTGTTACTGGGTATTGTGTGTTTCTAGGTGATTCGGTTATCAGCTGGAGATCAAAGAAACATGCAACTGTTTCTCGATCCTCCACAGAAGTCGAATACAGAGCCATGGCGGATCTAACATGTGAGGTACAGTGGTTACATTATATTTTTCAAGACTTGGGTGTTTCATTTTCATCTCCTACTGTTTTATTCTGTGATAACCAATCCATTATTCGTTTAGCTGAAAACCCGGTCGCTCATGAACGTACCAAGCACATTGAAATCGATTGTCATATTATTCGTGATCGAATCTTGTCAGGTTTGATTAAAGTGTTGTTTATCAATAGTGAAAATCAGCTTGCTAATATTTTCACGAAGTCTTTAGCTAGTGTTGTGTTTGCAGGACTAATCTCCAAGCTGAATCGTGTAGATATTCACGCTCCAGCTTGCGGGGGGGGGGGGGGGGGGGGGGGGGTTGTTGGAGGACTCGATTGTAAAGAATTTGATATGATCCCAATTGGATCAATCCCCAATTCAAAATTACTTGCCAAAGAAGTCATCTCAACTCACTTGAAGAATTCTGATTTTTGGCTAAGTGTTGAAACAGTTTCAGGTAGCCTACTTTGGAAGCTTGTATCTCACAAATGGCTCAATGGAAATTGGAGATCAAGGGTTTGTTTTGCAGATAAAGTTTCCATGTTTCCAATGGTATGCTTTTTGGATCCAGATAATGTCATTAAGGTTGTTTTCCAAGACCTCAAAGTTGCTACCTCAACACTGGAAAACTGCCAGAAAATGGCTAAGGCAGAAAACTGTTTTGTGAAGCCTAGTTTGGAGCTCAATTCTAGGAGTATGGATCTGATTCAAGTCCAAAGGCTTCCACAAAATGAAACTAGGTATGTTTGTGAACAAAGGGAAGGAATTGGATGAAGAATTGGAGTTCGGGAAGGCCTCGAACAAAAGGCGCGAAGTTAGTACGAAAGCTGCCTTTTGACTGTTTTGCGGACAGCTTACTTGTGCGCCAAGAAAGGAAGTTTATGGCCGAATTTTGAGTCCTTTTTAGAGTTTGTTTTTACCATAATTGTTTCCTAGTTCTATTAGGTTTGTATTAGGATTTTATTGTCTTTAAATAGCTTTCATTCTCACGTTGTAAATCATCCAAGTTAAGTTGAATGAAAATTGCTCCTTTGTGAGAATTGTGTTCTTTGAGAGTTCTCAAGAATCAAACCCTTGAGTTAGTCGTGTGAGGAATTCCATTGCTAATTCGAGAACCCTTGTGAGGCTTTTCTGTGATGATTCCAGATTCGTTTTACAAGTTTTCTTATCAATCAAGTAATCACCTTGATTGTGGCGAAATTCTACCTATCCATCACTTATCGTTCTAGAAGTTTGGTTTGCTGCGTATTCTGATCAAAAACACCCCCCTGGTGCTTTATCAGAATTAGTAGTATAGGTCTTGTATTGTAATATTTGTTTACTATAATGTTGTATTGGTTATTTGAACAGATACCGTATATATACATGTAATAAGTGATAGTGTAAATTTACCGTTCATTAATGCACAAGTAGACATTTTCTTTCTTCCAAGATCAACAGACTCTGGGCAATCAAGCTTGAAGTAGAATAGAGCACGAGTTATTCCAGTTGTGAGGACGAAGACTTGTTTTGTGAAGGTGGTCTTGGAAAGCAAGAAGCTGAGCGTCAATGGCTGGAGCGCGGCTGAGCCTGTGAGGATTCTTTTTGAGTGAGTGTTCAATCAGGCGCAGTAGAGACTCGAAGAACGAATGGACAGAAATTCCGATTCCGAGTTCTCCAATGGTGCGAATCTGGAGATCTTGGTATCGGGGAGTATTTCTTGAGGAAGGGAACAATTAGATTTCAAATTTACAATTATTATAATTTTCTTTATTTATTTTATTGTGAAAATGAGCTGGAATTATAAAATATTTTATTTATTATTTTTTAATTGGCTTCTCAATGGAGTCAACAAGTAAAGGAAGCTGATTCGGCTCTTCTCCAGCTGTGAGGTGTTTTTGGTAGAAAGCATCTTATGCCCAAAATATTGGCTTCTCAATGGAGTCACCAAGTAAAGGAAGCTGATTCGACTCTTCTCCAGCTGTGAGGTGTTTTTGGTAGAAAGCATCTTAGCCCAAAATATTGGCTTCTCAATGGAGTCACCAAGTAAAGGAAGCTGATTCGACTCTTCTCTAGCAGCGACCTGCATTTGTTTCTTCTTTCGGGCATCCTTCCATCCTCCTTCCATCACCTTACCCTGCAGTTGCTCCTTCCTACGCATTTTGATGCGGCAACTGGGCGTCAAGACTCCTAAACTTCCGCATCGAGGATTGCTTCATTTGCCATGTATGATGCCTGAGGAGTTAAGCTACTCGCTCGTGCTAACAGATAGGCGGGTATTATTATTATTATCTTATATATAATAGCCAACTACACTTTATTGGCTCAAAATTTCCTCTACTGTTTCATTATTTGTCGTGTTGTGAAAAAACCTTCTTCAACCAGCTCTAAAAAACCTTCTACGCGCAGCCGGCTCCACCAAAAAATTTACCCACCCTCACAGGCTCACAGCTGCCCATGCTTCTGTTTCCCCTTCCCTTCACCCTCAGCCCCAAAATCTGCAATTCAAACATATCACGTATCTGACAACTCCTGTTTGCTTCTTTAAGTGGCGAACTCTTCACAGCTACAGCTGCTAAACACGCCATCACCCATGCATTTGTACGGTCCTCACTTTACTCCTCTGGATTGAGAGAGACTTCTCCCCTGACCACTCTACTGTGCTTCTCCACCTTACCTCCTCTTCGCTCGCGCGGGCTACAGCCCATGCTGCCTCTGTACAGCTGCTTGGACAAGGCACCAGCCTTACATTGTACTGACTAATCAACAACTCCACTGTGCACTGGGACAAGCCAGCCTCATTCACGCCTCCAATTGGAATTGGGATTCTTTCTCTCTCTGTTCCCAGATTCACCCCAGGTTCTTCCACTAGCTCTCTTTTGCTTTCCTCTCCCCCTCTCATAACCCCTTTCTTCTCTCTGCAATGAAGACCCTAAAGTTTTCTCTTGCTGCCGACCGCCATGAAACTCAAACACGGCGGAATACATAATCGATTTGGAAGAGGAGGACCACAGTGAGAACAAAGGCGGCGAGAAGGAAGGTGCCATCGCGAAGTACTTTTCGAGCCATGTAAGTGTTTGCCCACCTCACTTCCATCTCTCTTTGTTTTGTTGCTAGAAGAACCGCATCTAGAAAAGCCGAAAAAGAAGACGCTCAATGAACTCTGGGCTGATTTTGTTGGAACTTTCACCTCTCGGCAATGGCCCTGGAGTTATTCGTATGGTTTTACTTTGTACGATTGATGAGCAAATCTTATATGTAATCTTGGAGGGAAGGCTTTGTCTGGTACAAGATTCCTAAAATTTGTAACTTTCCATTGATTTGCTTTTTTCTGGGAGTGGGAGTGAATGAATTAGGACAATTAGTCAGTTCCAGTTTAAAATTCTCAGGATATGTATTTTGTTCAAAGGCTGTAAGCTCTGGCATCTCAGATAATCAATCAATCCTTTTGTGTTTTTGTTCCAATTCTGGTTTATGAATTACTGCTCCGCCTTCCATGGAGTCATTGGTTGACGATGGAGGAGTTGGCCCTTCAAAGAAGACCAGCAAGAAATCATCGATTCCAAGAGTCCCCAACAGCCCTCCTTGAGCTCCCGTTCAATATCTCAGTCATCATATGGGGTGAAGGGTAGTGTTCTGCTCTAAAAAGGTCGTTGAATTGGTTTTTAAAGATTATTTGTTACTTCGGCTTCTGGAGTTCTGCTTTGGTGCGAGCTGAAGTGATTTTTTAAGATGCAGGTGGACTGGAAGGCGTTGGTGCAAGGTTGAGGTTGTTCGTAGAAGCTGCTATCTACCTAGCCCTTCAGGATCTGTTTTGATCCATATTGTAATCTTCATATTGTGATGCTTGGAAGACCTTATTCACAAGACCGTCCGGATATCTCTTCTGAACTGTCTTTTTCTTTTCCACGAGTGGTGAAGTTTGGTGAAAATAGGGCAGCAATTCAAGCCGAAATCCTCTACCCTTCCATACACTCGATACTTTGCTGAATCATTAGTCAAAGAAGCTGAGACAGACAACAAGATAGTAGCTATTCATGCTGAAATGGGTGGTGGGACTGGTCCCAACTATTTCCAGAAGAAGTTCCCAATTGATGCTTTGACGTGGGGATCACTGAGCAACATGTTGTCACCTTTGCAGCTGGGTTACTTGGTGAAGGTCTCAAGCCATTCTATGCCATCTACTCATCTTTCCTCCAAAGAGGATATGATCAGATAAAAATCTACAACAACTAGGATCTTGCAACTTACTAAATACTACTCATGTTGTAACAAAGTGGTCCATTTAAAAAATGCAGGTAGTAAATGATGTGGATCTCCAGAAGCTACTGGGCTGGTTCGCTATGGACAGAGCTGGTTTGTTTGAGGTGGATTGGCCATATCTCTGTGGTGCATTCTACATTGCCTACATGATCTGTTTGCCAAACATGGTGGTTATAGCACCATCGGAGGAAGCTGAGTTGATGCACATGGTTAAAACAGCTGCAACCATGGTCGATAGGGTGAGCTGCTTTAGGTTTCCAGCGGGGAACATACTTGCAGTAGTTCTCCTACCCAACAACTAAGAAACTCCACTCGAGGTTGGCAAATGAAGGGTAGTGATGGAAGGACCTAGAATTGCTATAATGGATGATGGAGCTATAGTGCAACTGTTTGTTGAATCTTGATGGGGAAAGCCTACAAAAACTATGCATTTCATGTGAAATGAAAAAATGGAATGAGGGAATCAATGGGAGGCAGTGACTTTTTTTTGGTGGAAGTGGTGTAACTCTTTACTCTATCGCGTTATAGCCAGAAGAGTAAACCCAATTTCAGCAGTGCCATGCTATAAAGACGCCTGGAATCCATGATTTGGAAGCGCCCCAACTATTGGGGGATTGCCAAATTGTTCTAGCAAGTGATGGCTTTTGATATACATTTTATAAATTAAATTTGAATCAAACAACGTAGACTCTCGCCACTAAAATGAAGCCAAGAAATTACCGTTCACTATTCTTTACTGTGTTAGTATTTCAAAGGTGCCTGAGGATTAATTACCGAGCCTGGACAAGAATTCGATTCGACCAATAAGAGTGGTTTATCTGGGAAGACAGATATCTAATGCAGAGTAATGCTCATGGCTTGAGTTCTCCGAAACTGCTTCTCCTGAAAGTCCTCATACCTTACTTCACAAGAAAAGTGGTACTCACAAGTCCCAACGAAAGCAGGAACGATGCATTTCCTAGGATTTAATCAATCCCACCAAGGACCAAAGTATATCTCTGCATATAAGCACTAACAATATCTCTCTACTAAGAATCTATGATGCTTTGAGAATGGTTGCATCATTACTTCATTTACGGTGCTCCAAAAATTAAGCTGGCGGGAGTAAAAGAAGTGGCAGCTGAAGCGGCTAATTAGTTGTCAAGAAAGAAGCGACTGGGATGGAATCATTGAGCAAGTACATGGAGCCTTGAACTAAGTTGTCTGCACATTAGCTTCAATCATGTGTCCCAGACATCAGAATCCTCATACTTCTCCCAGGATAATTAATGATCAAGTACTCCAATTTTAGAACCTGAAATCTGATTCCGCAAAAATCTCATACATGTTATCCGACAAAAACAAAGACAACAGTCGAAAAGAATTCAACAACCCCAAGTAGATAGGAATTTTGTTCATCGATGATAGAAACCATATTTATTATTAGGATAATTATTTGTTGTAGGCCCGCCAACCAAACTTCTAATACTCTTAAACCCAGATCATTGCCGATAATATAACAAACCCAATTTGCCATCAACTAAACTGCTCTCCATGTGATCATGTTATAGCAAATTTAGTTCTCGCGGCGTAGGCGCGGGTATTGATTCTAGTAAAACTATAAATGATCCCTTCATATTGGAAGCCCTGGCACTTCGTGAATGTCTCAGGGAATGTGGTACAAGATGCTTGGGAGGCTTAGCTATTTGTTGCGATGCCAAGGTTTTGATAGACAACTGCAATGCTCGAACTGTTGCGGATGCAAAGATTGGTCCTATTTTGCAGGAAATTGGGTTGCTGGTGGATGAAGTTCAAGTTAGTTCAATCAAGTAGTGTGAAAGTAGTTTTAGTAATCAACTAACCTTAGAATTCACCCCATTTATTTCAAATGCAAAGTAACAGGAATGGCAAATCTCCTTATTGTCGATGCATATTCACAAAAGCCAGATAGGAGACCACCTCAATACAACCCAAGTTCATACACAGGAGCAGACAAGAGAACAATGTGATTCCGAGTAAAATCACGAGACTTCTGATAACAATAGACAATAGTGGGTACCCAGCAAAGCACAGCATGAGTGGTTCTTTCTGCAGTCACTTGACATACTTAGCAAACCACTCCAATGCATCCTTATGAGCCTCCTCAGCAGCCTTCACTGCGGCCTCATCTTCAATGCTGTACCTCACAGTCCATCCATGAGAAACTCCAGGGAAAATCTTCACAAACGCGTCGACCTTCGGAAAAGCAAAGGGAAAGAAACACAAAGAAAACATCAGAGAAGCTTCATACCCAGAAATATATAACACTTCGAAGTCCAGAACCGATTGTAAATTTATCCATCACTGTTTCCTTACGTCAGGCTTAGCAGCTAGGATCTCTTCGAACTGTTTGATGACAGCTGGTGGAGACATCTGGTCAATCTCAGCTCCTAGTATTGCCAAGGGGACCTTCACCTCTGCAGAGTTTTAAGGAACATTTAGTTTAGTCATAACTACAAATAGCCAGCTGTTATATTCTGCAGAGAAAAAACTGATCTGATCAGTCTCTGACCTTTTATATCGTCTACCGAGACAAATGAAGGATGGCAAAACACCCCGGCTTTGATGCTGTCTTGTTTTGCAAGTTCAACCACTACCTTGGCTGAGACAAAATGGGGAGAAACAAAGCAGTTAACCCATATTACTTGTTCAAAGATCACAGGTCGCAACAAATAACAAGCAAAAGTATAAATATTAAGATGTACTGATTCCATAAACAGTAGTATCTGATATCATACCACCCCAGCAAAAACCAACCGCTCCAATTGCAGTGATGCCTTTACTTTTCAGGCTCTCGATGACAGGCTTGACATCCTCGAATCCCTTCGCCTGCGTACGAAAGAAAGAGCAGCCAAGCAAAAGCATGAACACTAACAAGTTGCAAGTGATTCTTTTCAAGATGAGCACATTAGGGTTATCCTTCTTCTTTTTATTTTTTATTTTTATGACAAGGGTGACATAAGCACATTAGGGTTATCTTAATCTTAAGCAGATCATTAAGACTAACCGCTCCATGATCTTGCAACCAGATTTGAATGGTCCTCCCTGCGTTATCAGGAACGTAAGGATCTCCATAGAAGAAGTCAGGAACAACCACATAGTACCCAGCAGCTGCAGCCTTGTCTGCAAACTTCCTTCAATTGAAAGAACTCCAAAATCCAAAATCAGGAAACCATCGAAAGCACCAAAAAACAAAGAAAACAGAAACCATCCATGAAAATCCACCACATCCACAAAACGACTCCATTACAAATGCGAAGATTATCCATAAAACTAACATAATCGATTGGGTTCTTTTCAATTGAGGTTTCCATCCAGTTTAGGAGAACAAACATACCTCAAATTCGGAGCATCGTATCCTGCAAGATAAATCAAGACCCAAAATACACAGAAACCCTCGTCAACCGAAAGCAGAGCTGGGAAATAGAGGACAGAAGAAGAGAAGGGGTTAGACGTATGTACCAAAGATATCGGAGACGAAAACAATGGCGGACTTGGAATCAGGAGAGCCGGCGACGTAGGAATCGAGGCCAGCCACTTTCTCTAGATGCCCAACTCCACTTGATGGGTTCAACGTTGGTGGATTTTCACAGCATTGAGGCCCTGACATCGCTGCTGCTACTGTACTGTGTCACTTTCGTCCGAGGCGATGATCGAGTGAAGCAGAGGAGATCCCGGTCGTTGCTTCTCACTTGTTGAAGTTGAAAGGCTTATAGATAAAGTCATAAAACAGTGTTCAGCCGGCGTCAGCGCTGGCGTTGTATGATTCGTCCTGTTTTGAAGAGCCTTAAGCCCAGGGCCTTCAACTCCATGGCCCATGCTTCGGCTCACAAAGCCCACTGAATTGGTGAGAGAGGCCTGTTGGGCTGAAGTGAATATGGAGCGGTTTCTCCATACATAAGGGATCCATATCCAAGCATCCTCCCATTATATAAGGAGGTTCCGCTTAGAAACCCTTCACATTCTCTTTTTCCAGCCTTCTGCGCATAATAAGAAAGGGCTTCTTTGTCTTTTCCTTTGTTTTTTTTTTTTATATTCAAGACATACAATACAAGTGTTCGTGGGGATTTTATGAATTTATACAAGTATATATATGTACGTATGTGGGCAGTTTAATTCAAAATAAACTCACCAAACGACAAATAGCTACAAACTAAATGGAACTTATATAGGTGGGCAGTGTAATCCAAAATTCCGTGTGGTTACTTTGGGTTTGAAATAAATTTAGAGTACCATAAGGCTTATAATTAATCTATAACAGAACACTAATATTAAGATATACTCCACTACAACATGTTTAATTCTAAATTTCAAACCTTTTGAGTGATTTTGGAAAGGATAATTTTCCATTTTTATATATAAAAAACCACTAATATCCAACATTCCGTGTGGTTACTTTGGGCTTGAAATAAATTTAGAGTACCATAAGGCTTATAATTAATCTATAACGGAACACTAATATTAAGATGTTCTCCACTACAACATGTTTAATTCTAAATTTTCAACCTTTTGAGTGATTTTGGAAAGGATAATTTTCCCTTTTTATATATAAAAAACCACTAATATTTTAATTAAAACCCCGACTATAAAAAACATAACATTATTGTTATTGAAAAAGAAACATGGTAAAAAGAACTTTGCTCAGAAGTCAAAACTATGGGTCAATATCATAGTGGTTTCGTTTTCAATATAATCTCCTATAAGTTTAAAGGACTATACCTCATTCATTTCAACTCTGATTTTAAAGTTTATCGGGTTAGAAAAATCATATGATTTGAAGATACAACAATATGAAAGATAACAATAGTTAGATAACAATCTACCTCTAACATATTGTTTGGTATAAATGAATTTCATAAATTTTGAGAAAGTCATTTTGAATGAAATTTAGATTTTAATTTTTTAACTTCAAATTCATTCATTCGATACCAAAAGTTCTTACCCACTAAAACATTAAGTCTCGACCAAATAGTGTATCTCACTTTCTGTAATTTTATAGATTCAGGATTAAGCTCCAAATTGTGTATACAACTTTTTAATCTAATTTAATTGTTTTTCCAATAGAGCTAGGTTTATTGGTACGCTTACATAAGCTACTCCCGTATCACTTGGACTTTTTATTTTGTTTTTCCGCAGGCCACTAAACTTTAGAAAACTATTATTATAATTAAATATAAAATATTTTAATTATCAATTTAATAACTTAATCATGTGTATTAAATGTGTTATACGTGTAACATCAACCAAACAAAACTAAAGAGTAAAGAGTTATAAGTTTATTTCAATTTTTCTTATGAAGTTTGAATCATTTATCAATATCAACCAAGTGGGAATAACAACTTACATGTATAAATTTTTATTGTAAAATTTCATGGTTTTATTAATTTTTTAAGATTCAGTTTAGATACAAAAGATTTTTGTACTCTATGAAGCACAACCGTTACTATTCCAATAAAATTGAATTCCTCTTTGTTTCTCAACATCAAAGTATGCAAACACTTCTTACTTTATTAGTTTAGTACATGAATGTTCATCTATTGGTGATTGGCCAACTTTGAGGGAACAATTTATTCTCTTAAATAAGAGACACCTTGGTGCTACCTAATCTCGATATTCTTCAACTAATTGGATTTCACTCTAGATAACACGACAATAACAATCTTTCTTATTATGTTGAAATGTTAAAATGCATCTTAAATTATTTTATTCTGATTATTTTTATGATGAGAAAAACAAGAGATCAAACTCCTATGTTTGCTTGAGAAAAGATTATTCAAAAAAAGCACAAATGCAATTGTTTTGCAACTCCATTGATGTGGATGCTCTTAAAAATCATGGAAGAACAATACCTCCTCTCCCTCATATCATATTAAAAGAAGGAATAAAATATTTATAAAAAACGGGATGAAGTTGAAGTTTCATATCAAGTTTAGTGAGTACAACATCACAAATTCCATAACTCAATTAATATTTTCGAACATAATCAATGATATCCAACAACATTTGTGTCCGGAATGAGGTGGATTCTTTTGTCATGAAAATGATATTTCATATGTGGTTACGTTTTGTCTTTTAATTTGCTTCTCAAAACATGTATAAAAAGAAGCGCATGTTGACGATGAACATAGTAGAGTTGTTGATGGAGATTCTTGACGGTAAATTACTGATACCAGTCATCTTGGAATACCTTTAATATTGTCATTAAATTTATTATGAGTTTATATTCCATTGCACGAGTCTTATCATTTTAATTTCAATCGGAACCTACGAAGACACTGATTACAATGTAGTAATATATGTGATGGATGCTCATTTTATTTTTTGTGCAATTGAATAGTTTGACTTTCTGAACGGTAAAAACTAAGAAACTACCTTGAAACTTTGGTCGATTACTATTATTGCATTGCAACCGGCCAACGGGCCGGGTTACAATCTAGTAATGGTTAGGAAAATGCCGTTGAGAAGCGAGGTCATGCCATCATAGGGAATGCGTTAATAATCATCACATTTGTTGTGAAATCTACAAAATATATAAAGGCAAAATATGGGTTCGAATTCTCCCATATCAAATTTTGTGGCTTCAGAGTAATTCTAGAAAAGTCATTTTTGTTATTGCACTCAATTCATGTTTATATATTAAAAATGTTATCATTGGAGTTCGAATCTTGATCATTTAAATGATAAAACAACATTATAACCAACTAGGCTATATTTTATTTTATAATGGTGATGAAAATTATATTAAAACAACAAAGGACAAAGAAGTCCAAAGCTAGTACAAAAAAGAAAAAGATAAGTTGGTTGAGAAGCACTGAACAACAGCAACAGAAAACCCAAAAAGAAAACAAGAACAAAGAAAAGGGGCGAGAGCCATCAATCCACAATTTAACCTTCGCTGCACAGAAACCAGCAACACAACCCAGCAATACTGTCACCCATCTAATCGAAAATGTGGCTCAAGGACCTCAACCTCAAGGACAAAGCCGCTGTCACAAGCCAATAGCCACACCTCGAGCAGAAAGAACTAAAGCGCAAACCACTGATCTTGCCACCCAGTCAACTAGAGCTGCAACTCAAAAACTGCCACCCCCAAGTCACCAGTGAAGCCAACAAACACGTACAAAATGGCCAACAACAACTCCAGCATCAGCAACTCTAGTAGTAACAGATCGATCAAACTTCACAACTATCCGCAACAGTAGCACTCGTCCCAAATTGAGCAAGCAATCCACACCCGATCATCCAACAACAGCCACTTAAAATCTCCATCCTAAAATAAGCCATCACAAAAAGGATAAATTGGCATTAAGCCACTATAACCCTTGTTCTCTCCCAATCTTTTCATGCGAGGTTGCCCATTCAATCATGGATCTTGTTGCTTCTTGAGGATGACAGCCGGGTCAAGTCTAATATCGTGGAAAATGCGTTGGTTCCTTTCTAACCACACCTGCCAGCATATAGAATGGAAGGCAAAGTGAATGATCCAACCATTTATGTCACTTGGATCATCATTCTTCCACCTGCAAAATGTGGACCAACTATCTCCAGATGGTGGATTAAGACTGCTACAAATTCTCCGCAACCTGCTCCAAATTTCACAAGAGAACTCACAAACAAAAAATAAATGGTACACTGTTTCTTCCTCACTTTTACACAGTTCACATCGGTTTGCGATCAGCCACCCTTTCTTCTTGAGGTTGTCGAGAGTAAGTATCTTCTTGTGGGATAAAAGCCAAATGAAAGTGCAGATTTTGATGGGTATTGATTGCCGCCAAATAAAAGTAGCAGGGAAGTTCGGTACTCCTTCAAAATGCTCTTTGACGAGGTACCTGTACATTGATCGGACAGAAAACAAGGAATCTGATTGTGATGACCAGACAAGTCTAGGAGGGCCACTGGTCACCCTTGAGATACCAACATAATTAAGTAAATTTAAGAGAGAAACCCGCTCCCTTTCAGCCCCCCCCCCTTCTCATATTATAATTCAGATAAAAATTCCAACTCACATTCTCGCAAGATTGGATAAAATAGTCAGAGATCCATGCTTCTCGATTCGGTGTGGCGGCGGTGATACGGGGGAAGGAGTTAGCAAGAGTTACTTAAGGGATCCAAGTGTCGTGCCAAAAGGAGACTCATGCTCCATTATCGGGGTCGATGTTAGCAAGTTTCCAGAATTCATCATGTTCCTTTGTAATATTGGCCCAAACTGAACCTTGAAATCCATTTGCTGTCTTTTCCAGTTTGCCAGGAAGATAAAATGTTAGGATACTTGTTCTCAATGAGAGATCTCCACCAACTGCCCCTTTCATTTGCGTATCTCCATAGCCACTTACCTAGCATTGCTTTGTTGAAACTGGATAGATCGATGACTCCTAAGCCACCACGTTCCTTAGGAGCTTTGCATAGCTCCCACTTAACCAACAGAATTTTATGGTTATCTCTCGGTCCACTCCAAATGAATCTACGCTGAGTTTTTTCAAGATCTTAATCACTGTTGCTGGCGCCCGAAGCAAGGAGAAGTAGTAAACATGCTGATTTGAAAGTACTGCTTTGTTCAAGGTCATTTTGCCTCCTAGAGACAAATAGCGTCCTTTCCACCCATCAAGGCACTTTTGATAGTTATCACAAATGGTGTTCCAAGTGGATATTGCATTATTCTTGGCTCCCAACGGAAACCCGAGATATTTGGAAGGTTCTCGACTCCATTTGCATCCAAAAATCACAGCAAAGTAATCCGAGTTTG